AAGGGCATTTTAGACAAAGGGAAGAGCCAGAGCAGAGGTGTGGGGAGGTGAAAAGATGTGACATTTAACAGACCGCCAAGCTGCGTTGTCACCAGAGGAAGGGGGCGAGGGGCAGGTGAGTGGAGAAGGTTAAGTTGGGCAGGACCAGTTAGCAAATAAAAATGCAGGGCCCCTTGGAGGGGAATGGATGGGTGTCTTAGTGCCCTAGGGCTGCTGTAACACATTACCGCAAGCTGAGCGGCTTCAAACAGCAGTCCTTTATTCTCTCGCTATTCTGAAGGCCAGAAGTCCAAGACCAAGGGGTTGGCAAGGCTGAGCTCCCTCTGAAGGTTCCAGCGGAGGATCCTTCCTCACCTCTTCCAGCTTCTGGTGGCCCCAGGCATTCCTTGGCTTGTGGCCGCATCACTCCGATTTCGGCCTCCACCTTCCCATGGTCTTCTCCTCTTCTTTCCTCTTTGTCTCTTATAGGGACACTTGTCCTTGGATTTGGGGCTCACTCAGATAATCCGGGATGCTCTTACCTCGAGATCTTTAACTTAATTAATCTGCAAAGATTCTGTTTCCAAATAAGGACACTTTCACAGGTTCCAAGGACCAGGACGTGGAAATATCTTTTCGGGAGCCACCATTCAACCCAAGGTAACAGGCGACACAGGCTACGCTCCTGCGAGAAGAACAGGCAGAGAAGGATGCCAAGGGTTCTGCCCATGGGCTGCCTGCCTCTGGCTTTTGCTTGTGACACACTCTTCTTCGAAGAACCGTCCTTCTGGGGAACTGGGAGGGTTCCAGCTGGCCTGCTGGGGCCAGAGGGGTGGGGCCTTGGTGAGCAGGGCCAGGAGAAAGTCTGCTGACAGGTAGAGCCTTTCCCAGCTTTGATTCATTGACCGTCTGGGCGAGAGCTGGACCGAGCCTCTTGGAATTGCAAAAATGCCTCGCACATATTTTCCTCGCTGCCGGTGGTTTTGTTCTCAGCCAGCGGAGAAGGCCTGTCTGCTCTGCCAACCCCCGCTCAGCCCCCGTCCCCTCTCCCGTCTGCGGCTCCCTCTGCATCCCGCCCACCTCTCCCCCCAGAGACACCCTCTCTTCACGGCCCGTCACTGAGGCTGGAGTGGGCAGGGCTTGACCACGTCCTCATAATTGAAATATTTGGCCCCCGAAGTGAGGCCAAAGCAGGGCGGTGCTTCCCCCAAGTCAAAGGGATGGATTCAAGCTGGGCTCTGCTCAGGCAGGAGGGGGCGCGGGAAGTGTCCTGGACGCTGAAGCCAGAGGCCAGCAAAGGCTTCCTTCCTGCTGGGTCCCGGAGGATCCAAGTGGCCTTGGAGGGCGGCGGGGACAGAGACTCAAGGCCCATTGAACCCCAAATCCCTGTCTCCGTCATGATGCCATCCTTCCCGCCCCTTGCACATGCACCGCCTGGCATCACTCCAGCCTCACAGAATCTTCCAGGAAGGAGGGAGTCCTCTGATGTCCATTTTGTGTATTATACGTCAATAAAAAGGTTTTTCAAAATCCTGGGGACAAGGGGAGTTTCTGAGGCATATTCCGCCCCTGTAATACCCTCAGGACTCAGATGTCCGCTCGTGGGTTGGACCAAAGCCCATTTGTCCCCACGTCATCCTGGGCCCTTGTAGAATCCCCATCATTGGGCTGCATAGGGCGCTGAGCATCAGCTTTTACAAAGACCACTGCAGAAACAGCCCCCAGGAATCCACTCGCTGCAGGGGGGGCCCATCACCTCCCCATAACCCGCTGTGGGTCTCCAGGGAGAAATCCCCTTCAGCACCCAGTCCCGGGACACGCTCTGCTTCCCTGAGGCTCGAGAAAGCCTCATCCTTTCTGACTATGAGAATTGCATAACAGATCACATTTCCCTTTTTCCTTTAGTTGCCAGGAATCTCAGAGCCAACTTTGAAGCTCAGCCGTAGTAATTATGTGACCCCTCGTGATCTGAAACATTTCTTTCTTTCTGTGGTCTTAGTTTTCTCATTCTGTTTATATCTTCTCTGATGCTGATTCTCTTTACCTATTTTATCAGTATTTTCATTATGCGCCTTCTGTGGTAAGCAGCTTTGCATGCTGTTTAGAACAAAGAGGACTATAAGTAAGGAAATAAATACATCATGGTTCCATTATGATGTGAATTTTATTGCTGAAAGTGTGGCTGTTTGTCATGATAAACGAATTCTTCTTCATCATCTGAATTTAGGGCAGAGGTAACCTGGGAAATTCTCTTTCTTCTACCACTAAACCTTGAGCTCCTTGGGTATAAAGGGTGGCTCATAGAGGCCCTTGCCCGTCTTGACTAGGTCAGTAGACAGATGATGACCATAAAGATGAGCAAACATGGAAAGCATCTCTCACGAGCTGAGTCCCTTAGCCTCGTGGGGCCTCAGTTTCCTCATCTGTAAAACAGAGACAGTAATCTAGTCCCACCTTCAGAACAGTTGGGAGGACCTAACGAGGCATGAGAAAACATGTAGTAAACTGTGAAGTGCAGGGCCATCACAGAGCCTATGGGCTTGTGCATTCAGTGGGACAGCTGTTGACAATCAGCCTCTTGGGATGGGGGTCCCCCTCCTTGTCCTGTTGACCTCCTGAGAGCCAGGGTGGGACACAGCTCAGCTGGAGATCCGGGCTCCCCCTGGCTCCCCCACATCCCTGAGATCAGGAGGCCTCTCTGTGAGGGTCTCCTCCAGGACTGGGGCTCAGGATTCCTTAGGAGGGGCATAAGCTGGAAGTTTGTCCAACCTGCTCGCCCCCTTCCCAGTCAGCCTGGCTGCCTGGCCTTGGACTCAGCGCTGTCAGATCTCCATTTCTGCATTCCCTGGGGGACAGGAGCCCCTTTCCCCCCACAGAGACGACACCAGTGTCTGAGATTTGTTCTGCTTTCTCCATCTCCACCTGTGGACGGGCCGGCCGGCCTGGTTCACACAGCATTTCCGTCTTCCTGCTCATGTGCTCCTCTCCGCAGCCTGGTGAAGCAGCTAGGAGGGCCTTCATCACCGATTCCTCTTGCAATTTCACAGATAAGGGAGCTGAGCTCACAGGGCCGCACATGGTCCAGAGGACCCAGGCCTCAAGGGCAGGGCCCTCCCCGCAGAGCAGGCGCCTCCCTTCCTCCCACCTAGGAATCGTTTTCGCCTCTTGTTGGAAGAGTGACCCAATAACCAGTTCACAGTGCTTTGTTCTCTCGGGGCAGGACAGAGTACAGAACACCTGCCCTCTCCTCGGACTGGAGAGACCCCGGAGAGAGGCAAGGGGAGGACCGGGGACAGGATGGCAGCCAGGACCTCGCATCTCTAGACCCCCCTCATTTCTGTGCTGTGGTATCTGTTTCATTTTCTCTAGTTTCCTAGTAAAAGTTTCTTTTGAAAAGCTTCAACTTTGTCTCCCATGAGCGAAGGGGAAGGAGGGGGATGCCATCGGGGTGTGGCCCAGCCGTGGGGTTCAGCCAGCTGGGAGGGCCTGCTGGGCTTTGCGAGGAAGAGTCGGTGGCAGCGTGGGTCATGGGTCGGGCTCACAGCGGCCTCTCCCTGCGAGCCGCTGCCCGCCTGCCCTCGGCGATGTGTTCACGCTTGGCGCCGTTGTGGACTTGGGAGGAGTGAGAGGCGGAAAACACGCAGGGTGGCCTTGCTCCGACTTTAATTTGCTCATGAATCTCCTGGAATCTTGTTAAAGGGCAGACTCCAATCAGCAAGTCTGGGGGCGGGAGGGGGCCAGATTCTGCCTTGCCGATCAGCCCAGGTGAGACCAGCGTTGCCAATGTCGTGGGTCGAGTCGCCTCATCGCACAGAGCAGAGAGGACCACGGCCCCAGTGCTCCTTCAGTCTTGGCCTCGCACCTTCCGTGTGCCCCTTCCATCGCTCACATCCTCCGGATGTGCTCATTCCTTGTCCCCACCAGCCTGGGAGCTTCCGTAAAGCATGGACTGTATCCTGGTCACCTTTGGAACCCAACACAGGACCTGACACTTATAAACATTCATGAGCAAGCAAGGAGGGGACTCTCAGAAACACGGGCCAGGTCCCCAGATGACTCTTGGCTGGACAGTCATCCCAGAGCAAAGCACAGGGGAGACATCAGGGGCTGCTCCAGAGCCCCTGGGTCTGTGGCCAGCCAGTTCCAATCTCGCTTGTACCCCAAGGAAGGGGTCCCAGGAGGCTGGGAAGAAGGTTGCAGTGGAAGGGGGTCCCCAGGTGCGAGGCCAGAGGAGGGATGGCAGTGTCCACTGCAGGAAAGCTGCTCAGGCCCAGGAGAGCCCAATAGAAAAGCCCTGGTTCCGGCCGCAGCATCCTGTGTGATTCCAGACAGGACCCTTAAACGTCCTGCTCCACGGTCACTCACGCCTGTTCCCCTTAGCTCCCCTCGGAGGGTCAATGGACCATTCCTTGAGGACAGAGGCATTGGCAGCTAGTCTCTTCTAGGTCCCTGATGTTCCACGTAGGGGAAAGAAGATGAGATTTGGAGCTAAAGAAGTGGCCCTAAACACTCTGCCTGTGTGACCCTGGGCAAGTGGTTTCACCTCTCTGAGCCTCAGTTTCCCGCTCTGCAAAATGGGAATGCTGACTCTCAGGGACTTATGGGACTACGGTGGGAGGGAAGTGAGGGGCTGGGTGTGAGGGAGCTAAGACATCAACTAATACTCTCCCCACTTTGGGGCAGCCCATCCCTTTCCTGGCGGCACCCGATGATCTGGAACCCCACCCACTTTGCTCTGCCCGTGCCAAAGTTCTGCCCACCCCACCCTTGCCCTGTGGAAGCGCCCCCTCTTCCCTCCTCCTGCCCTTTGCCAAGCAGAGCTCTGCTCGGCTGGGTGCCCAGGACAGAGATGGTCCCGGCCGCTCCAGCCCCGTCTCCCCACATCAATACACTCTGGAGAGCTTGCCAAGAGCAGATTCTTTATTAATTTCTCTTTTTTCTTAAAAAAAAAAAGATATTCCTTCAATATAAAAAATAAATATTTTAAATATGGCATTGAATAAATAAAAATAATCTGTCAGTATGAAACATTCCCACAGGGTACATTCATCAAAGAGGAATTCGTCCCCCAAGGCCAAGTCTTTTCCAGTAGAAAGGAAGGAGGGAAACAGGGAAGGAGGCAGCGAGCTCACGGTGTAGACGGGAGAGATGCCCAGGTACAGGGTCGGGATGGGAGGCCGGGGTGATCAGAAACTAGGGACATCTGTACCATGTGAAGGGAAACTGACTTCTCACTTGACTCTGGCCTCCACCCCCACGTGCTATGTCTGTTCTGGAGAGCCAGCGGGGCAGAGCTGGCCTGCTTCTGTCGGGGAGGGTCCCCAGGAGGGGACAAGGAGAAGGCGAGGAGGAAGACAACAAGGAGGAGAGATAAATAAACTAGCAGGGCTTTCCCATTTAAAAATTTTCAAAATAAATAAGGTCCCCCAAACTCCTCTCTTGATAAACTGCAAAATGACCGTCCTTCTCCCTTCTCTGCTGACAGGGTCTCCCCGTGACCCCGGATGCAGGTGTGGGTCCACACCAGCAGCTGAGACGCGAGAGAAAGGACAGCTGCCAGCCCTGGAAAGCTTTTTCCACAGAGGCTCCATCCTTCAGGGATGCTGTGCAAAGTGGGTGCCGATCTGCTGGACTGGTTCTAGAAAGAGCATTGAGGATGGGTGCTGAGGGGCATGGCCAGGGCTAGGGAGGGGAGGGTGTGGGTGGTGGGAGCACAGTGGAGCCGGGGTCTGTGTTGGGCCCCAGGAAGCAGATTCTCTTGGTCCCCCAGCCTCAGAGGCTACCCACGTGGGCCCGGCATGGGGAGTCCGTGTCCACTGGGTGACGAGATGATGGGAGACTCAGCCGGCCCCGAGCCTTCTGAGCCATGTTCACCAAAAGAGCAGAGTGACGGGCGGGCAGCAGGAAGAGACCCCGGACAAGGGCGAGGGTGACCCACACTGAGACGGCGTCGGAAAACATACGAGTATCGTGGTCTCCTCTGCCACCCGCCACAAAATAGTCTTGCCAATGGGAGGGACAACTCCCAGCTCGGGCCCCCACCCCACCCCAGGCCGGGGCCTGCCTGCTGCCTGCCCGCCTGCCCTCAGTGGGCGTAGGTAAAGTGCTTAGAGAAGACAGAGAGAGGTGCCAAGGGAGAGCAAAGTACCATGATCGCGATGGCTGAACTGCTGGGACTGCCGCCTGCTGAGGATTTGAGAAGAAGCCAGAACGCTGCTCTGAGCAGCTGCCCCGGCTCCGCGCCCTCCTCCCCGGCTCCCAGACTGGAGGGCGTTTCTCCGCTAGCCTGGCCCCGGCACAAAGGAAAGATCGGGTTCCCTGCCTGGGAGCCCAGACATGGGTGGGGGCGTGGGGGCAGAAGGGACCGCAGCTTCCTGGTCTGTGTCCCAGGGCCTCCTGGTCCTCCTCTCCAGAGCAGGGGGCTCCTCCCTGCGCTGCCCCAGCTTCCTGAGGTCCAGCCAGGCCCTCTCGCCCTCTGTGGGTGTTCTTGGGCCACCCGAGAAGGAGCTTCCTCCCCATGTGCGAGCATGCTGGGTGCCGGGGCAGGATTGCTTCAGGGCCCTCCGCTGCTGGTCTAGACGCAGCATGGAGACAAGGAGACAGAGGCAGGCAAGGAGACACTAGGACCGCTTGGTCCACTGCTCCAGGGGCGCCCTTTCGACGATGAACGTTGCCCCTTGCAGCACAATTCCAGAAGGCGCCAGAGAACGCAGTGTGGAAGGAGCCCCCTGGAGCCAAGCCACATGGCAGCCCTGGGAAAAAAGCCCCTGGCCACCACACAAACCCACCCGGCCCACCCTGCAGCCAGGATCCTGGTATCCACAAAGCACAGCCCCATTCGGGGCACAGGATGCAGCCGAGTCCCCTGCCCCCATCCAGCTGACCAGCTCTCTCAGAGCCTGACCCTTCTCTGAGCTTCACCCACAAGGCTTGTCCCACTTGTAACATCAACTTCCAGACCAGACCGGGCTCTGCCGAGGCCTGGCCCCAGCCCCAGCGGAGGGAGCTGTCATATTATTTCTCTCCGGTAGGGAGCAGGAAAAGGGAGTTAACTCTGCCATTTACAGCACCAATAAGTTAATATAAATAGGGCATCATAATAAATAGACATTCATGCTGGGTCAGACACACAGCACTCTCGGATCTCAGGCTTCCCTGAGACCCTGACCTCAAGTTCTGCTGTCCTCTTGCTCTAGGGACCAGAGACTAGGGCCTCTGGTCCCCCTCAAGTACCTTTGTGTGACCTCACAGGGCCTCCATGGGCCTTGGATGTGAGCTGCCACTCTGAACTACCCTGTCCGTCCCCTCCCTTACAGACTTTGCCCAGAAGGAAGACTCTGGGTGTCCTCAGAACCTCCTCACCTGACTTTGCAACCTGCCCACCACCACAAGCCCCTCTTCAGGTCTGGCCGCCAGACCCTGGCCATCCCAGGCGGCAGGAAAGACTGCAGGAAGAGGAAGATGAGCCCGCCAAGCCTTTTGGGACCTCTCTTCCTTCCACCGCCTTCCTTCTCAAGCCTGAAGGTGGCCTCTTTGCCTCCCGAAGAGTCTGAATGCCAATGACCTCCTTCTGGAACCTTCCACCTGACAGTCCCTAGGCCTGAGCTCTCCAAACACGCTCAAGAGAAGGCAGCGTCTCAAACGAGAGCTCCCTTCTCAAACTTCCACTCACCATACCTGTAGGGGCTAAGGAATCCTTTGGGACCCCAGCCCCTCGGGCCTACCTGATCCCAACCAAAACTTCCAAAGTCTACCCAAGGGGCAGAAGGCACTGATGGTGGTCATTCTGCCAGGGACAATTTCTCCCGACCCCTGCCGTCTCGCCCTGTGGTCAGGGTCGCTGTAGACAACTTGTGCGGTTTGCTCACAAAGCCCCTGGCTAAGGGGACAAGTAGGGGCAGATGTCTGGCCCACACTCCCCTTGACAGCCCAGCACCCCAGTGCCTGGTTGCAGTCTCCCAGAGGAAGGGGCGCCTTCTTCTAGGTGGCGCTGTATATAGGCCCTGCCCATGGGAATTCTGACTCTGTTCAGAGTCATCACAGACCACCCCACAGGGGAGTGGACTGGCCAGGAGCCCCTCGGGGTCTGCCAGCAGTCCCCAGTTGGGTTTGGTGAAGCTCTGGGCCCCGGCCACAGTTTGAGAGTTGCCTGGGTCTAGGATCTCGGGTCACTGTACGCTTCAAGATCTCCTGTCTGGAAGGCCTGGGCCACCACGGCGATGACCTGCTTATACTTCCCCAGGAGCTGACAGCCCAGCTTCTTCTTCTGGAAGACGTCCTTGTTTGAGGTGTCAGGGCCGTAGGCCACGTCCACGTTGGCCACGTGGTACTTGCTGCACAAGTGGCAGAGCACGTTGCTGAGGAGGCCCCGCATGGTGTCCGAGGTGGCATTCAGCTTGCTGTGGAGGCTGAGAGCATTGGGGTTGAGGACCTTCTGGTCCCGTGTGATGTTACCCAGGGAGGCACCAAGGTAGGCAATGATGCGGTACAGCTCCACCAGCCGGGCCTTCTCCTTGCCGTTGGCGTGGAAGGGCGGGAAGTCCGTCACATCGGGGCGGCACAGCTTGTCCAGGTTGCTGGGGAACGGCTCCCCCTGGGCCGTGTACTGAGGGGCAGAGGGGCAGAGGGGAGGTGACATGGGAGCCTGAGATGGGTGTTCCAGCCCTGCCACCAAGCCTCTGGGCAAACTCTTGGGCCTCAGTTTCCCACCTATGGCTTGGGGACCCAGCTACTTGCCCTGTCAGCATCTCGGGATTGTCATGAGAGTCGGAAGTAATCATGGATGTGAACACATTTGGTAAAGAATCAAGGGCTAGACCATGCAAGGAACCATCATCATCATCATCACCATCACCATCATCAGGACCACATGGGAACAGAGAGGAAAATGTCGCTTCTCACCTCTAGCGGGTGCACCACACACACCTGCACTTTTACTCACCACAATCACCCTCTTCCTGGGCGGCTCTGCACCCCAGACACCCACAGCCCGCCGTCTCTCCCAACAGCACCTCCCCGGCCACCTCACTGTCTCTTTCTCCTTTGTCTCTCATTGGCCTCTTGCTCCACGTGGTGGCGGAATCCCAAGACTAGAAGTGCCAGCCCCACCCTTCTCCCCACAGCTCTGCCCCTGCCTAACTGGGCGTCCTAGGAAAGTGGCTTCTGGTCTCTGAGCCTGGGCTGGGGGTGGGACGGAAGCTGTAGGAGTCTGGTGTGGTTGAACCAAGCCCCCTCCCCATTCTCTCCTCCCAGCTCCAAAAGGTCCCTTTCCTGACCAGCCCCACTGGCCCACGTCAGCACAGCAACCCGCCCCCCGCCTTCCTCCTCCCTCCATCTCCTGGGGGACTTACATAGAGAATGAAGAGAGCATTGGCACTGCTGTTGAGCTGCACCAGTTGGTTCCTGATCTGGTCCATGAGGTTGCTGTGACATGGGTGGCGTGTGGCACAGGTGGCATTGTCAGGGGTGATGGGAAGGGGGCTCCCTGCCCCGTGTTTCCAGTGCAGAACTAGCAGCAGGGGCACAACTCCTGGGAACGGGCAGGAAGGCGCCATGAGTAGGGAGTTGGGGGGGCAGACAAGGGGACTCATGGGAGAGGATGCGCCTCATCTCCACAGGGACATGGGGGCCTCAGCTCCACCTCCAGCTCTATCTTCCCCTGGCCAGTTCTAGTTTTTCCCATGTCACTGCATCTGTTTCTGTGTCTCCCTCTCTCCAGATCTCTGCTTCTCTCCACCTTCTTATATCTCCCTGTTGTCTCCTGAGAAGGAGCAGAGGGGCCAGACAGGAGCTGTTCCCACTACTTGGAAGCTGGGTCCAGGGTGACACTAACGCTCCAGCCCTTCCCCTCAAGGAGGAAAACCCCCAAGACCTCCTTATTGTCTGGTTGGAAGGCATCACTCCCCAGGGCCAAGGGGTCTCAGGGAAAAGAGAGACCCTCAGCTGCCCACCTCCAAGGACAGTCCAGAGTCCTAAGCATTGCTCCAGGCCCATTGATCCGCTGCAACTCCAACCTTCCGAATCGGGTTCCCATGGACACCACAGGGGGACAGGGGGACGGAGCCTCTCTGCTAACCCTCTTCTCCCTCCCACCCTGTCACTTGATCCTGGCTCCCTAGGCCATCTGTCCACTAATTCTGCCACCCTGTCCCATCTCTTCTATGGCTCTCCTTCTCCAAATGTGGCCACTCCCCTACTAGGACCCTCAACTCTACTCTAAATTCTGCAATTTTTGTCCCCCTCCATCCTCGTCCCCAAATCATCATTCAAAACTTCCTGTTCCCCCTCGCCTCCATGCCTCCCTCTCTTGTCTTCTACTCCTTGTCCCAGGCCCTAGGTTAGGATGAGGAGAATCCTGTGGTCTCACAGGCCCCCCAGAGCTCGGCGGAGGGAATGGTGCGACCAGGAAAGAGAAAAGGGAAAAGGTCAAAGGCAGCCAGGTGGGCGGGGGAGGAAGGAAAGTGAAAGGTGACAGGAGAGCTGGGAGCTGTCCCGGCTTGCCCTGGATCGCCCCTCCCCCCTGGGGCGCCTGCTTCCCCCTCCACTCTCAGGTCCCCTCAGCAGGGCCTTTCCAGGTGGCCCAGCAGCAGGGGCTGGGGTCAGAGGACCAGTGAGGCTGAGAGCCGGTGAGGCTGGGGGGAGGTGGGGCAAAGAGCGTCCCACCCGGATCTCCTCTGCCGGGACAGTGGCAGCCTCAAGTTCCCTTCTCCTGGGTCCCCTGTTCCTCCTAGCATCCCCAGGCAATGCTGAGTCCCGGGGATGGCTGGGGGGCCCCCACACCCCCGTCTCACCTAGCACAGATCACAGCTTTCCAGGCGCCAGCAGATGGAGCGGCACCTGCTCCCGTCCCGGGCCGGAGTTTGCAAGCTGCTCGGCGGCCGGCGCCCCTCCCAGGGAGCAGCCCGGGACGCGGTTGGAAAAGAGAAAGCGGAAAGACAGAAAGAAAGAAAGAAAGAGGGAGGGTGAATCCGGGAGAAAGCAGAGCTGGCAGGGCAGCACAGGAGAGTGGCAGGAGCGAGGAGCAGGAGGAGCGGGAGGAAGGCTGCGGCGGCCCCCTCCCTCGCCCGCCAACCTGCTGGCCCCCGGGCGGGCCGGGCGCGCGGTGCCGGGACCATGTGCCTGCGCTCGCTCCCGGCCGCCACCCAGCGCCTCCAGCGGCCCGGCCGGCTGCGCGGGCGCCCCAAGTGTCGGTGTGTCTGCTGCGGGTGGGTGTCCCGCTCGCGATCGCCAAGTGCCCACGTTGCCGCTGCACCCGCCGCAGGGCGCGGAAGCCGGCGCGGGGCGGGTGGATTTACCTGCCGCCAAGACCTTCATTATGGGCTGGACTCCAGAGGGCCTTGGAGGAGACCTTAGATGCCGGCAGTTTTCAGAGGTTCATGCTCGGATGGGGAATTTGCCTGATTTATATACTGGAGCCTGTGTTGTAAGACAGAGAGAGAAACAGCTATATTTAGCAGGGATCCCCGTCCAGGAAGTTGTTTGAGGTGCATCATAGGAAATTATGAATGGAAGAAAGTGAGAGTGGGGGGGGGGGGCCTGGGGGGGGGGGGTGGGGAGAGCAGACTTTTTCCCTCTTCTAAGAATTTGATTGATAAAATTATAATGAACTCTTCTACAAAACACCCTGTGGTTTTCCTGAGTGGCTTGCCCTGGGAGTTGTTTGAAGATGGGGAGAGGGAGGAGGGTCCCCAGGCCGAGTCATCGGGGTCCCCGGGCAGTGGGTGCCCCAGACAGCCCTGACTCACCTGGGTTTGGGGAGGGGGCTTGAGGCTAGGCAAGCAGATGGAGGCTGGCACCTGTGGCCCTCTGATGGGGGGGGGCGGGTTGGGGGGCTGTGGGGCGGAGGCAGGCTGGGGCTTGGCTGAGAAGGAGGCTCCAGGAAGAGGGGCTGGGGCTCGGTGTGGACTTTAGACAGCAATAAAGTGGAACTGAACGTGGGCCTGGAAGCCACCTCACCTCCTCCAAACTGGCCATTGCCACTGGGCTAAGTGGAGCTCCAAAGGGAACAGGTTGCCCAGGGTCCCACAGGACCAGCCCCCGTGACTGCCATCAGCAAACCTGCCTTGCTGCTCACAGGTACCTGTGAGGCTGGGGAGGGGGCTGGGAAGTTGGAGAACGTGAGGGTTGCTGTGACTCGGTTCTTTGGGGACAGCCTGGGGAGGAGCTTCTGGGTAGGTGGTGTGTGTCTGGGGCTTACCTAAACTTTTTGCAACCCCACCTACCGCTTCAGGGGTGGGTAGTCCAGCATCTCCATTCTGGAGGGACACCTGAAGCAGAGACCTAGGGAGGCTAATCGGATCCAGGTTCCCTCCCCAGGATGCTGAGGGATGGCTGGGGAGAACAGAAATAGCTTGCCCCTCCCAGACCTGCCTTGGAAGCCCCTTGGGTCTCAGGATCAGAAAATGATGGGGAAAAGACGCTTCTAGAGTCTCTAAGGCAGGTCACAAATTCTGGTGTCTCTTGTGACCAGGTGGATTTGTAAAGGAGTGGGCGGGGGCAGGAAGGAATGGTGGGGACTAGGGCAAAATGAGCACAGGGACTCCTCCCCAGTAAAAAGCATTTACAGAAATGCGACGGGTGAGTGCTGGTCAGACACGTATGCTGGGGGCAGGGAGAGGGGCTGGGCACGCTATCCCCTGGGGACCCCACCGCAGCCCTTCTGCCTGACCTTGACCAGGAAACAAGGTCAGAGAGTTGGTTTTTCAAGGCCAGGGAGCCCCTGAAGCCTTTCCCTGACCCCTAATGCCCTGCCCAGCCCCTCACCCATCCTCCACACCCCCAGCTCCTGCATCTTGCCACATTTCAGACCTGTTCAGCCACACGTTCCTCCATCATCTCACCAGGAGGAGCCCTCGTGCCTGCTCTGTTCTCCCCCCGCCCCTCAACACACACACCCTGCCCTATCCAGGCTGGCTTCCCTCATGCTCTCCCAGCAGGGCCTGGGATGTGGGGCGATAAAACGGCCCATCCCAGCTGGCACTTCCCAGCAGGAAGGAGGCTGGTACAGCCCAGCTGGGCTCTCCTTCCTCCTCCTGCCCCCCCACACCTTGTCTCTTCCTTGAGAGGCCACAGAAGGCCCCACCTGGCACTTGCCCATCTCAGACACCTGCTCTGGGGTCCACGTACACCCCCAGGAGGCCCACCGACCCCAGGCTGGTTTGGGAAACCCCACACCCCACGACATCCCAGCTCACCTCCCTCTTCTCACAATCCTCCCACCCCCAGCTTCTCACACAAGGGCCCGACCACTCGGAGCACTGAACTCCAGATCAGCCTCCACTCCCACCCCCACGTCTCCCGGAACCCTGTCACCTGACTCAGCCTGGCTCTTCTGACGTGGACCCTAAATCCATTTGACCAGGGCCCCACTGTGACCCATCTATCCATCCCATTGTCCCCCCCTCCCCGAGTCTGCCACCAGGTGCCCTGATTCTCCTGGAGGCCAGCACCCTGTCCCACTGCCCTCCTGCCCCGGTCTCTCCCCTACATCCTTCCGAGTGGGCTTCCAGGGCCTTGCACTGCCCTCTGGCTCCCTAGACCCCACATGAGCCCCGTAAACCACCCCCAGTTGCCATGGAGTCTCAGCCCCACCCCACAGGAAACAGGAAGTGGGGGCAGAGTCTAGAAGACACTTAACTCTGCCCTGGCTGGCCCCTCCCGTGACTCAGTTTCCCCTCTCAGGGTACCTGACTTGGTCCGTGCTCCCCAAGTGCTCTGGGCCCCTCGGCACCCCAGGCCCAGCCTCCCTCTCCTGTCCATGTCCAGGCACCACCTGCGTTGAGCCTCTGGGGGAAGGCCGGGCAGGGTCTCGGAGCTGCTGGGCCGTGAGCTGCCTGCAACGTGGCCTTGGTCCCCGGGAATCGGCTGCCCAGGCCGTGCTCCAGGCCGGCTTTGGTCTCCTGGAGTTTGTTTTCTTCCCTCCCTCTCTACGCTGCTGTGTGTATGTGTGTTTTCCCCAGCTTCCTCACGGAAGGCATCCTCCCTTCTTGGCTGCCTGCTCCAGGGGTTGTGACCCCAGGCCCCACCCTGGAGTGGCAGCCCCAGCCCGGCCCCTTTCAGTGGTGACTTCATCCCCAGCCTGTCCTGCTCCTGCACACTGGCCTGCTGGGGATCTGACCGGCCTCAGCATGAAGGGGACAGTCGAGGCCCACATGGGACGCCTTCAGCCTGAGCAGGGGGCTGCCAGGCCACAGCCTGGGGGTGCTGTCTCCAGGTGGCTCTGCCATCCAGGAAGCGAACCCACGTTCCAGCCTGGGGCCTTCCCAGGCCCCCCAGCGCTTTCTCTCCTACACACCCAGCCCCTCCTTTTCTGCTGATTCTCACCCACCATCCACAAGCCTTGCCTAGAACGTCACAGATGTTTTATTTCTCAGATGGGGAAACTGAGGCTCAGAGAGGTGAAGGCACTTGCCCAGGGCTGCACAGAAGGTTAACAATAGAGCAGGGTCTGGAACCCAGGCCTCTGGTTTGCAGGCCACAGTGATGCCAACAGCAGCTCACGCCACAGGGGAACGAAGGATGGCGAGATGCCCATGGGCCCCCTCCTCCAGGATGCCTCCCCGGACTCCCCCAGCCCTGGCCGGCTGAGTCTGCCTCCTCCTGCCCACTCTCCTTTCAAATGCGGACGAGTCTTATTCCTCACTCTTCGAGGGCTTGGATCTGGTCTGATACTCATTTGTACTCTTGACAGCACCTGGCTCAGGGTTACACCAGAGTGGATGTTAAGTACTTTCTAAAAGCACTTTAGGATTCCCGAGAGCTGCCTGTGCCGAAGCTCTCGTGGAGAGGAGGCGCGGAGGCTGGTGGCTGGCAGCATGGACTTCGGACTTGGTCAGAGCCTGGTTGGCGATTTGGCTCTGCCAGTTATGAGCTGGGTGACTTTGAGGAAGTGATCCCCTCCTGGCCTCGGTTTCCTCATCTGTAAAATGGGAATAATGGCACCTGCACTGTGGGTTTGCTGTGAGGGCTCAGGGCTCAGCACAGTTCTGGGTACCCAGCAAGCCCTCTACACGTCCGTGTTCATCCTTCTGCCTCCCCGTGCAGGAGCAGTTCTTGTGCCCGTTTTACAGACGAAGCAACCTGGGCTCACTCCAGGGCGGAGGAGGGGAGAGGTGGGCAGAAGAGGGCCCCGTCCACCCTCTCCTCACGGATAATGGAGGCAGGACACCCTTATAGCATCCAGCATCAGGGTACCCCAGAAACATCCAACAGGTTGTGTGGGGAGCTGGCATGGCAGGGTGCCCACGCTCCCCCTGTCCCATCCTGGCCCCCGGCTACCCCCACCCCAGGCCTGAGCTGAGGACAGCGGCTGACCCAGCCTCACCGCCCCCAGGAGCTGATTCACCCCCAGGCCCCTTCTGAGAAGGAAGGAGACACAGCTCAGCTCAAAGGGGCTTGAATCACCAGCCGCCCCCTGCGGAGCCCCGGGGGGGGGGGTGCGGGGGCGAGGGCCAGCCCCCTGCCTCTCTGTCTGTCTCTTTCCCGGGCCCCAGGGCACTCGGGGAAGAGGGCAGCGTGGCAGCGGCCATTGGCAAGGGGGGTGGCAGGGAGGTCCCCTCACAGTCAGGCATCCTGTGTGGGCAGCCGGCAGCTGTTACTCACCAGGTAAGCGGCTCTCTGGGCACTGGGGATTCCCCAAGACCAGTGACCCAGAAACTGAGCGCTCCGGGCAACCCCCACTGCCCGGCCGGCCTCCCTCCTTTGTTTACCATCGCCCTCCCCTGTGCCCAGCTTAAGATCTCAGTTCTCTGAAAACCAACCAGCAACGGCTCTCAGCCACCAGCTCACACCCGGCCCCTTGCCTTGATGTTCCCACCTGGGAAATGAGCATGGGAGGCTCAGATGGGGAGGACGTTGGGGGCCTGGCATGGCCCAGGACCAGGGCTGGGGAGGGGCAGCCAGAGGACACAGGAGAAGCTTGGAAATTCCTGGCACAGTCCTGGCTGTTGGGCGTCCTGTCCAAAAAGGCCAAAGCAAGCCATTATTCAGCACTTGAGAAATGAGGGTGTAGCTACACCTGTCCCCCCCCCCCCCCCCCCGCCACGTGGCACCACAAACCCATCCACGTGCTCTCCTGCAACCTTTCCTGTGGCCCGTGGCTCGGTGTTGCAAGTCAACTTTGGGCCGTCTGGGCTCGTAGTGGTGCCCATGGGTAAGGGTGTGGCTTAGAGGTGACCCTGGGTTCGAATCCTGCCCACACCATTTCTCAGCTATGTGACCTGGGGCAACTGGCTTCCTCTCTCTGAGCCTAGGTGTCTTCTCTGAAGGGGGATGCTGTCACCAGCCTCAGGAGGTTGTCATGAGGACGTTAAGTGGGAAACACAAAGTGCCTAGCACATGGGAGCCATTCTAACCAGAGTTTTTGTGGTCACGGGAGGGGAGTGAACCCCAGCCTGAGTTAGGGGCTTGGGCTGGGTCTGGGTCCAGGGGTCAGTACACCATCCATGGTCTGAGACTTAGGCCAGGGAGGGCCTCCGGGTCCTTTCAGTGCCCAGAGTGTGGCGTGGGTCCTGGGGGAACAGGCAGCCTCTCAGAGGCTCGGCCTCAGGGGACTAAGCGGAGGTTCCCGCCTCAGGGCCCAGCTGTCTTTGAGGCTCTTGAGGCCCAGGCTATGGGCCTGCAGTCTGCCCCTTCTTACCGTCACACCATCACATCTCTGGCAGGGACCAGCTACACCCCCTCAGAGCCAAGCAGGGGCCAGAATCCACCCTGGCCCCCAGCCCCCGGCCAACTGCCGCCAGCATCGCCCTGACATTTCCCAACTTGTTCTGCGTCAGGAATCCCCCCCCTGGAGGTGAATCAGAGTGACTGCATCTTTTCTTCAATTCTGATAGAAACTGCAAGGGAATTGCAAGCAGCAGCCCACAGAGCCCTAATCACGGGCAGGGCCCCATGCCAGGCTCTGCCCTCGGCCTCCCCATCTGTACCGTGGGGCGCTCTCCTCGCCAATCGGTCATCAGCACTTGGCGGAGGTAGCGTTTTAGCTCCGCCAGCACGCTGACCTCTCCGGGCTCTCCCTGACCCTCACACTAGCCTGGGACCATCGTGGGCAGATGCCGAGTGAGATTTTCTCCCTGTGGGGCTCTGCCTCCTGGTGGGTCACGGATTCAATTTAGAGGGTTGCCACCGGCACTTTCAAAAAGGAAATGGAATAGCGAAATCACCCAGCATTGCCCAGAGCGAGGGCAAGCGCCGCTCCACGAAACCTTTCCCCCACCCCAATGCTGCATGTGTGTGTCAGCGTGTGCATCATCCCAGTTGCGAGGTGCTGTGTGTTTCTAACTGAGACTAGTGGTCAAGAACGTTTGTAAGCTGCCAGTATCGATGGTGGAAGCCAAGCCCTGAGGGGCTGGGGAGTGACTTGCCCAGGGTCACTCAGCAGCTGGCAGCATGGGGTGCTGACTTCCACCTTAGCCACTGTCCCTTCCAGCTCAGGAATGGGCAGGAGGGGCCGAGGGAGGGGCAGGGCGGGTGTTCATGGTGGGGGGCAGAGGCCTGGCATCACCGGTCCTGGGACAAAGGCCCTCCCAGAGCCCAGGCCCTCACAGTCCACTCCCTTCCGTAGCCTCAGACCCCGGGCTCCCCGCCCCGCCCTGCCCTGCCCTGCCCTGCCCGGGTGGGGCCCTGGATAGTCACAGGCCTTTCCTCACTCTGCCCGGGGAGCCCTTCAACCTCACCGCAGGCGGCAGGAGGAGGAAGTGGCCCCAGTGCCCTCTCCAGGTTAGCCGGTGGTGCAGAGGCCCAGCCTGTGTCTGGGAGTGCCCACCGGGCTCCCTGTGGGTCTGTCTGTCTGTCTGGGCCTGAGCGGGCATTTGCATGTGTGTGTGTGTGCTGAGGGCCTTGTGTGTCTGCATGGCTGTGTTCAGCCCTGTGTGTGTGCACGTGTGTCTATGCTGGTCTGTTTGCCTGTGTGTGGTTTTGAGAGAGCTGGAGTGTACACATCCCTGACTGACTTTGTGAGCCCTGTGTGTGATTGTGTGAATGTGCGTGTGGGTCCTGTATGAGTGTGTGTCTGACCCCGTGTCTGTGTAAGTCTGTGTGGGGCAAGTGGTCTCTGGGCACGGGTGGGGAGGCATGACCCTGTGCATGTGTGTGCGCGTGCCCCTGAGTGTGTCTCCAACAATCCCTGCTCCTCACCCGGCAGCCCCCGCCCCTGGGAACCGTGTGGCAGCCTCACGTCACGGGGGCCACCAGCAGCTGGT